ATGGAGAACATGGTAATGCCAGTGAATTCTAAGAGTGTAAGCCCAAAGCTATGCTTCTTTTGCTGTGATGCTGAGTTCCTTGATCAGAAGTAATGCTGAGTGGAATACTGTGATGATGGATAAGGTATTCAGTAAGTACACAGATGGTAAATTTGGCAGAAGTGTTGCATGCTAAAAAGGCAAATCTGGATCCAGGATAAAACACTGCCTCTTCCATGATAGAAATATATCAATTGTAATCAACCTGCCACCAGAGAGCTTGATGATCACCCCAAAGAACTATGCCATATTGGGGGTTCAGAGTTGGTTTTTGCTGCTGGCAGATTGGGCACCCAGCAGTGGCCAGTCAGGGTGATCTTGGTGAGTGGAAGTCCATGTTGCTGAGTGTGTGTGTAAAATGCATAACCTCCATCCCTGCCGCAATGGCTGCTTAGTTCATACACCCTCTGGGCAATGACAAAGTTTGCAAGGGAAAGAAGCTAAGTGGTTTCCGAAGAATGGACCACCCAATTCACTTATTAAAGCATTCCTCTAATGAGGTCATCTTTTGATGAGCATTCACATGCAACACAAATGTCTCCACATTTTTTACCCATATAGGGAAGATTTATCAGTATACATACCTCCTCTTCCAAAGGTTTTTGTCATTAATTTTCCAATTGTCTTCCTTCCAACTCCCTCAATAACTAGCCAAACTGCTGGCTTAAGCTCATAAATCTGTATATAATTGCATGCCTGGCCATTTCTCTTTCTAAGCAAAGAACATAACCAGATGTTTGAAGTTCTGATCACTGAGGTTTCCCTTCACCACTGTCCTTCAGGGTTGTCCGAGAAAGGCTGTAGTGCTACAGCCCTTCAGGGTTGTCCGAGAAAGGCTGTAGTGCTACAGCTGTTTACATTCAGGTGGTGATCACATGTCATGGGAGAACCTTCTGTAAACTAAGCCCAAGTGTTTCCCTGTCAACTGATCCTAGGCAATTCCCCATGAGGCCATAAATACAGGCTGGGAAGAGAAGGCAGGGTAGCGTAGCAGAAGGGGTACAATAGACATTTGGGCCACCACTTTATATAATTTATTTGTGCTCTTCACAGGCACAATTCCTAACAGGCCCCAATTCTGTATGTACCATTTCCATTAATGTATTGTTGTGCATGCCCCATGTTATTGCTTAGAGGATCAGGTAACAGTTCTCGATAGAGAGCTTGGGTTGCATTGTAACTGGTGGCCCAAGGTCATGTTCAGTCTCTACTGAGGTTCAGTAGCAGCCAATATCTGTCTCACAAAAGGACAATAGTTATCTGAAGATGAAGGCAAGGCCTGGCTCCAAAATTCTAAAAGACCTGTGTTGTGATTCACCTATATGGACCTGCCAAAAGCTCTAGGTACATCACCACCTACCACTGTCACATTTGCTGGATCATGTAGCAGCTTGCACAGCACCCTGGTCCATTATAGAGCCTTCTCTTATCCTGGGACCCACTCAAAACTATCAGTTTTTCAGGCAAATGGCCTGGAATAACACACCTAAATGAGGAATATGTTGCCTCCCAAATCCAAAGAGGTCCATTGGGCATTGTGCCTCTTCATAGGTTGCAGAAGGTGCCAGATTCAACAATTTGAAAGGTGAAGGCACCACACCACTAGATGCCTAGAAATTTCACCGAGGTAGAAGGCCTCTAAATTTTTGTTGGATTCATTCTTCACTTTCTGATATGTAAATGTCTTACCATTTAAATCTAGAGTGTTTGGTAATCCTTGGTAATCAGCTTAGGTTTGGTACTTCTGGCTAATCAGATTAGAAGAACAGCATTATGTCATCAACATAACAGACCAGTGTGATTCTTTTTGTGTTGCAGCACTCAAGAGTTGATCAGGGCCTCAGGCAGGTGCTCTACCACTAAGCTATATCCCCAGTCCTGATCAGTGTGATATCTAGCAGAAGGAAAAGGTGATTAAAATCCCTGCAAATTAAACTATGACATAGGGTAAAGTTGATATGCCCCTTAGGTAGGACAGTGAAGGCCTACTGTTGGTCTTGCCTACTGAAAGCAAAATGGTAGTCCTTAATAGGGATGGGGAAAAAAAACTCCACACCCCAGTTCAATGGCTGCGTATTATCTAATGAGGGATGTGTTAATTTATTTAAGTAATGAAATGATATTAGGTACAGCAGCTGAAAATGAGTAACCACCTGATCAAGCTTATGACAATTCACTGTCATTATCAGAGGTCTGTCTGTCTTCTGCACAGGCCAATCAGGAAACGTGGTTGTGGTGGGAATCACTACTCAGGTGTCTTTCAAGTCCTCAACTGTGGCACTAATCCTTTCTCCAAGAATGCAATATGCTTTTGATTTACAATTTTCCCAGGCAGAAGCAGTTCTACTGGCTTCCACCATAATAGTCTTCAATCCACATGTCAGGGTACCAATATAGTTTTTCAAGCTGCCAAGTATTATTTCAATTAGCTGTTCTAGGGGGCACGGGGGGAACAACCACATCATTGGTTTAGGGATGCACTCTGAACCACACTTGAGCTAAAACACTGCTGATCCCCTGATCCATATAAGCTCCTACTGTAACTGGAGAATCACAGTGACGTTTTGGATCTCTTGGGCTCAATGTCAGTTCAGAACTAGTAGTCTCCCAAAAGATAAATTATTTCTCTTTCCCCCAAGACACAATTACATTATAGTAAGAGCCCACAAGAACCCTTTGGGAAAGGTTAGGAGAAAGACTAATAGTATATTTTTGTTGGTGTACCAGGGTCCTTACCTAAGGGGACCGGGAATCCTCCTTTAAAAAAAAATATTTTTTAGTTGTAGTTGGACACAATACCTTTATTTATTTTTATGTGGTGCTGAGGATCGAACCCAGGGCCTCGAACATACTAGACAAGTGCTCTACCACTAAGCCACAACCCCAGCCCCTGGAATCCCTTTTACTCAACCTATTTGTAACTTTGGATATGAAGTATACTGTTTGTAGGAAGCATGTAAGTTGGTTCACATTTTTGTTTTTGTTTTTTAATTCCTTCCAACACTCTTTGCCTTTTGATTATAGTTTAATCCATTTATATTTACAGTAACTGCAAATAATGAAAAATTCCTCCCGTTATTCTGTATGTCTTATACCTTTTTTCATTTCTTATCTCTTCCATTTTCGCCTTCTTTTGTATTGATTTTTTTTTTGGTGGTATTCTGTTTTAATTCACTCATTTCCTTTGCTATATGTTTTCTTGATATGTTCTTACTGGGGGATTACATATAAATACTCTAAATTTTATGAAAACATGGTCTTAATACCAACTTAGATTCAATGACATACAACTCTGCTCCTCCCCTGTTCAGTTCTGAACCTGGCTTTTTGTTGTCATTGTCAAAAATTATATTTTTATACCATGTACCCTGTAACAAATTTTAATTTTAAAGTATTTGTCTTTTTAAATTATATAAGGAAAAAAAATGGAATTATAAACAAAAAACACATTAATACTAGCTCTTAATAGTTACCTTTACTGGAGGTCTTCATTTCTTTCTATTGATAGAGGAAAAAATGGACCCTTTTTCATGTTTTGATCCACTTATTCCCCACCACCACCCCGCTTCTGGATTATCTTATATCGTTTTACTCATTTTTCTACTTCTTGTCATTTTCTTATTTGTGACACTGAATATTAAAGGCATATACTGAAAGACTTCTAAGTTTTTTGTATCTCAGGCTTTTAAAACATTTTACCCCTATGTATTTGTTCTTTCTCATGACAATGCTACATATTTCAATTATATCAGCTTTATGATGATTTACCAACTAGTGAAGGAAAAACTTCCTCTCTCATGTTATCTTTTCATATACATCTTAGAAATTCTTGCATTTCTATTCAAATATATTCATCAATTAATAATTAATTAATTGATATCAATTAATATCATTTATACTAAACAGCCTGTCAACTATTGAAATATCTTATTCTATCATATAGTTCTTCTCTACTGAATTTTAAAATTTGGAGTATATGTTCCAGCATTTTTTCCTGTGCATTTGGACCTACAGTACTCTTCTTTCATATGAAACATGTTTTGGTTGTCCAGCCTTGTGTTTCTTGAATTTGCTACCTACTTTACCAGCACATTGCTCATTTTGTTTAGTTGCTCAAACTGTTCAAGTTTTTTCCAGCCTCTTGGCCTTTGCACATTATATCCCTTTGACTATTAATCTAGCTGATCTGTTTAAATACTCACTAATGCTTTCCCTGACCCTTCCCACATTTAAATGTGTTCATTCACTGCATCCTATATTTTTCCACTATGGCATATAATATCATTCATTGATACACGTTTCTTTAACATGTTGTTCTCACTATAATTAATTTCAGGAAGGCATACTTTACGATCCCTGCTGCATAGCATATCTAACACCTAGCAGAATCTGGTACACAGGTGCACATGTGCATAAACACACAGTATTCAATAATAAATTGTTATTAGTGCCTTAAACAATTAACAGATAGCTTACTTTAGAAGAAAAACAGAATTACCCAAATTGGCTGAAAAAAAAAAAAATCAGTAAAAAAGATCAATAGGAATTTTTTGGTCAAAAAATAAAATAAGCCTACTTCTGACTTGGGAAGAAAAATGGGTTCTTTATATTTGCTTCTGAACTTTCATTAAAAATGTTTCAATGATGCAATGCTTGTAATAATGTGAACTTTAAAAGCCCTTTCAATTTCCACTAGAATAAGCAATTTATTATACATTATTATTTTTACATGTTATTATTGATCTGTATAATAATTTGCATTATTCTTTATCATCCAAGAGCACTTTTGAAATTTTTTTCAAACCAAATATTAATAAAAATACATATAGTGAAGATAACCATTTAGATTCTTCCAAAATTTCTGTTTTTAATCTCTTCCTTCCTTTTCCCCACACTCTACAGGGATAAAACTCCTTCCTATATACAAATATTATGAGAACAAAAACACAATACACAAAGCATACTAGAAATATTTGATTCTTTTTAATCAGGTATTGATGGTATAATAAAATAAAGTGGCACCTAATTTAAACATTTACAGTTCATTAAAGGATAATCTACAACACAGAATGCTAAGCCTAATTGCCAAAATAACACTTTTTTTATTCAAGAAAGGAGAAATGAAGGCATGATCAAAATTATGGCCAACAATCTGGGTTCATTTAGACACTTGTAGATGCGTTTGTACGTATATTTGTAGGCACGATGTTGAAAAATCAATCCACTAGACTTAGAAATAATGATATTTAAAAAAAAAAAAAAGGAAAGATACATTTCAGTTAATGTCTAAAACTCAAGAAAAATACCCACCAAATATCACAACATATCTTTTAATGACCACTTTTTTTTTTTTTTTTTTTAACATTAAGATTGTTGTTTTGGGGGAACATTTTTTCTCTTTGAATATTTAATTAAATGTTCAATGTATTAAATAATTTACAGAGAGAAATAAGTTGTATATTCTGTACAAATTAAAGGACCCATGAATAAGCTCCCTCCCCCTGCCAATAGCTCAATAGCAGAAAATGAACAGTTCACAATTTAAACTGAATTTATAGCATTTATAGCATTGCAAAAGTTTACAGAATCCTATCTCTTCATCCTTTTTTCTAACTGCAAAGATTACAATGACAGAATTGAACGATCAGAATGTAAAAATATTTGTGCAAAACTGCATTAATTGTTCTTACCATGGTAAAACCTAAGAACATACAATGACAATAATGAAGAAAAACTACATTTAAAGTAACTTCTTTAGATTTCAAACAACATGGATTTACTATTACTAAACACTGAAAGAAAACGTGGCACCATGAGCAGCAGGAGCAACAAATGATTCGGCAATTATGCCAGCTCAGGAGAGCTGACACTGGAATATGCCAAAGTCAATCTCCACAATAGCCATTCTTCCTAAAAGACTGGAAACAATGGTAGGGCTTAAAACTCACATCAATGTCTTTATTCTTGAATTTGCAGGTCATAAAGAAATATTTAAGAAAGTTTTCCCCCCTCTCTCTCAAGGAGTGTTTCTGGAATCCTTAAAACAGTTGAATCATGGATTCTCTGGATTTACCTACACCAATCCATTTAACTGGGGGGGGGAAAAAGAAACACAATAAAAGAATATCATCAATTTATTTGTAACATTAAGTCTTTGTGATTAGGAGATAGGTAGCCTCTTCGCCTTTTCTCAGACACACCATTTAATATTTCCCTATGTGCCTTTCACTGTCTGTCATTTCTGTTGAAGACTGTGTCCATTTCTAAACAGGATGTACAGTCAAGATCCAACACAGAGCAGTTTGCCTTACCATTCCATTTTAACTGCATATTTACAATTTCTTAATTTCCAATGACTAGGATAGTGAAATATTGGCCCAAAGCAGCAGAAACATAAAAAACTTTTAATCCAGTCCCTGATAACTAGAAAAGATAAGACCTTCGATAAATGTACTAAGCGGATACCTGAAGTGCCACTGTAAATTTTACGTATCAGAAAGGGGAGAAATATCTAGGCAAACACAATTCGAATCTGCACGGCCTTAGGCACTGCCTACAGCACCAGTCTAGGGAATCTCTCATGATGTATACTACATGAATTTAGGTTATTTGCAGAATTATTGGTTTCCATAATGCACTTTTAAAAAAATTTTTTTAATTTGTTCTAATTAGTTATACATGACAGTAGAATGCATTTTGACACACTGTACACAAATGGAGCACAACTTCTTATTCCTCTGGCTGTATGTGGTGTAGAATCACATAAGTAGTATAATCACACATGTAAAGTAAATAGGGTAACAATGTTTGTCTCATTCTACCATCCTTTCCATCCTCACAGCCCCAACCGTCTCCTCACTTCCCTCTGCACAATCCAAAGTTCTTTCATTCTTCCCTCTTCCCTGCCTCCCATAATGTACTTTTAGGATAAAACTTTATGGTATTTTTAAGAGGTCATTGTTAAACTCACTTCTATTCATATTTCAAAAACTGCTGAATATGCTTACTAAATTTGACATCAAGCTAGGAAAGAGCTACTAGCAATTTGGAAAACAAAAGTCATATTTAAAATGAACCATAAGTACAAATGAACCACAATACCAAATTCAAAACAAGTATATCACAGATTGTATATGGAAGATACCCACTACCTACTTTACTTTCTCACATCTCAAATTTACATCAATGTAAATTAAAAAATGAAATGAAAAAGTAATCTGTTAAAAGACTTCACATAACTTCATTATGCCTAACTACCTGGCCATCTTACATTTATTTCTAATAAAGAAGTTTACTCCATTCTTTATTCTTGTTTTTCACTTCTTTCTAAATGAGATTTCCTCTTTTCTTGTATCTATTATTTCCTAATGTCTATTCAAGATATACCCAACTCTCAAGGGTAGTTTAAAAATTTAAAAAATTATAAATTAAAAAAACTATAAATCATTGTTGGTGATGGTGAAAATATGGAATAAACTTTATTAATAAAGAGAAATGACAAGAATGAATGTCAGAGGGTAAAATAACAGAATGAGATTAAATGACAATCTGCATCTGTCATCCAGAAAGGGTAAGGTAATCTATTATCTTCTACTTAAAGATGAATATTATATTTATTCTTAAAAATATATATATCTTCCTGAGCATTTATGCAAATCATGAGCACTCTTCAAAGTAATATAATCTTTTATTTTATTTCAAAGGTAGGCAGGTAAGATAAAAGTAGAGAAAGAAAAGATAGTTGTTCATAAAGTGTTTCTTTACCTGGAATTTGAAGCTCATCTTCAATAAATCGAACATAATTTTGTGCATTAACAGGTAGTTCTTTAAAAGTCCGTGCATTTGATATGTCTGTATTCCATCCTGGGAGAGTCTTATATTGAACTTCAACTTTATTTAAGACTTCTTGGTTTGCTAAAAATAAAGGAGTATATTTGTCCATGATACACAGTACCTATTGTCAAACAAATTTTTGACAAGACAGTTCCACAGACATTTATCAAAATCCTTGAAGTCTCAGATGTGTTTCAGAATTTAAAATTTTTGATGTTTTAGAAAGGTAATGTAACAGTATACAGACCATCAGGGGTAGTATTCTATAATCAAACATTTCTGCAGCAACATATGAATACTCATTATATGTGGACAGAGTTCAAATCAGGTTTTGCTTCAAATGAGTTTTGGTACCAAACTTCCATTTAAAGCATTCTGAAATTCTATTCTCTCAATTGTAAATTATGAATCTATATAATAACAGCAACCTTAAAGAAAAAGGATTGCATATCTGAAATCTTCTGAGAACTCCTGTTATTCTGATTGAAATTTTCTTCATTATTCCATGTAACCATTTTCTCTATATCCCATATTAGAAACAACATGCAACATGAGTAATGACAGCAGTTTCTTTAACTAAAAACTGGCTAGTGGGTGCCATGGTACACCATCCAGATTTCCTTCTTGAGAATTGAACCCTATAGGCCTGATGACCACCAACAGCTCAGAGTTTCCCCGCTCCGCTGAAGGGAGCTGTTCCCCTGGGAAAGGTCATATACAGTGACTTGTCATTGATGTGAGAATACAAAGAACCTTGTCCTTTCTTAAATTTGGTTCAATTTTGAAGGGTAATTTTAGCTTCAGAGTTCCAAGAGATCAGCTGAGGACTACTTCTTTTTTTGTTGTTGTTGTTACTTATTTGTCTAAAAATTTTTACAATTTACTTTTTTTTTTTTTATCAAGTGGTAATTGTGACTGAAAGTATACAAACCATAGATCAGAAAAAATGTATAGACTGGCCTCAATCAGAGAACTTCTATGTTTCCTCCAAGCTTTGCACATCAACTTTTCATAACTTCACCAACATAAAATCAGAGACTATTCCCTGTACTTCTCTTGGATTTACTGAGTCACAAAACAGTGAAGTGCTAACTGTGTATCAGTGACTAGACTAGGTAGTGAAAATTCCAAATGTTAAAAAATGTCTATTACAGAGAATGCTGGATATATACACAAAAATAATACAGAATGCTTTTAATACATCTCCATGTGCTACAATTACCAGCCACCCACATCCAGCTGCCATACCCACATGCCAGCACCCCCTTCTCTGACTCCCATGATATTTTCAATCAGAATCATCTTTAATAGATAATGTTCACCAAAATATAAGAAGTCCTTTTAATAACCATCACAATGTCATTATCACTTCCCCCAAATCAAAATCCTTAAAACAAACAAGAGGAATCATATTTGAATTAAAGATGGCTCTTTCAAGAAATTGTTAGCCTAGTGGAACCGATGGATAAGAAAATCAGTGATGATACCACAGTAGAGAATCATATGCCCAGGTATGTTATCTGAATTATTCTATGGAGATGAATTATTCTATGGCAGGGAAGAAAGAGACAAAGAGCAAGAAAGGAGAAGTACAAGGAGAAAGAGAATATACGAAGACAAAGAGTAGAAAAGAAAGGGAGGAAGGGAGGAAGAAGAAAAAAGAGAAAATGAATGAAGAGAAAAGGGAAAAATAGCAACTTAAATAGCAGGAAGCATTCTCCTCTTTTGTCAATGAGCATGACTAACAAAATTTCCACGAGAGAGAACCTGCATTGCTTAACATGATAATCTCTAGTTCCATCCATTTTCTTGCGAATGACAGGATTTCATTTTCCTTTACAGGTGAATAACACTCCACTGTGTATGTATGAATATAAATACATACACACACACACCACACACACACACACTTTAACCCTGTGTCAAATTAAGAGCTGACAAAGATTTTCTCCCATTCTGCAAGCTGTCTCTTCACTTTGTTGTCTGTTATGCAGAAGCTTTTCAATTTGCTGTAATCCCATCTGTCATTTTGTAATTATTATGTTAAGGTTTTTTTTATTTATCTTGACTTTTGTACAGACTGAGACAGGCTCCAGTTTCAATATTCTACATGTGGACATACAGTCTTGCCAGCACAATGTGTATATTTTCGTTAATGTGTATATTTTGGGTATCTCTGATGAGAATCAACTGATGGTATGTTATGGTTTAAGATATGAGGTATTCCCCCAAAGCTTATGTTAGACAATGCAATAAAGTTTAAAGGTGAAATGATTTGGTTATGAGACAGCCTTAACCTATATAAGTCATTAATCCACTTAAATGGCCTAACTGGCTGGTAACTGTGGGCAGGTATAGTTATGGCTGGAGCAGGCAGGTCACTGGGAGCATGACTCACAGCAGTGAAAAAGGTGACTAAAACACTGTAGATGTATTTATTTCTAGGTTCTTTTTTTCTGTTTCACTGGTTTGCGTCTGTTTTAATGGTAATACCATGTTGTTTTTATTATTATTACTCTGTAGTATGTATTAAAATATCCCCAGCTTTGTTCTCTGTCTTCAAGGCTTCTATATGAATTTCAGAATTTTTTTCTGGTTCTGTGAAAAATATCATAGGTATTCTGATAGAGATTGCAATGAATCTGTAGTATGGACATTTTAAATAATATTGAGTCTTCCAGACCATGAACAAGCATTTTCACCTTTCAGTTTCTTTAATTTCTTCCCCCGATATTTTGTTTTTCAATTCCTTGATTAAGTCTATTCCTAGGTATTTTATTTATGTATTTATTTGTATGGCTATTGTGCATAGGATTATTTTCATTTATTTCTTTCTCAGCAAATTATTTGGATCTTTTCTCCACCTCTTTCCCATTCTACCCCTCTCTCCATCTGTCTACCTAAAGGCTTGTCAATTTTATCTATCTTTTCAAAGAAATTCACTTTGTTGCTATTTTAGATACTATAATTTGTTATTTCTGCTCTGATCTTAGTATTGCTTTTGCTGTATCCCACAAGTTTTGGTATGTTGTATTTCCATTTTTGATTGTTTCAAGGAATTTTTAAATTTTTCTCTGACTTCCTCATAGAGCAACTATTCATTCAAGTAGTTCAGTCTCTACTTGTTGATTTCTAGTTTCATTCTACTGTGATAAGATACAGAATATGACTTAAATGTTTTTGAATTTGTTGAGACTTGTTGGTACCTCTATTCAGTAATTTTGCTTGCTCTCCAAATATATCTCAGCTGATGACTTTTTATGGCCTAATATATGGTCTACTCTAGGGGAAGTTCATGTGCTAATGAAAAAAATATGAGTATCTTGCAGCTATTGAATGGAATGTTCTATAAGTCTTTTATGTCCATTTAACCAATAGGGTAGTCTAACTCTGATGTTTATTGATTTTTTTTACCCCTGGATGATCTATCCATTAGTGAGAGTAGAGTACTGAAATCCCCAACTATTATGGTACTGGAGCTAGCCTCTCTCCCACTTTAGATCTAATAGTATTTGTTTTATGAAATGAGTACATTCAAATTTATAATCATTTTATCTTCTTGAATTGAAACCTGATCATTATATAGTGACTTTCTCTGTCTCTTCTTAGTATTACTGTCTTAGGTCTATTTTGTCAGTACAGTATAGCTATTCCTGCTTGTTTTGGGATTCTATTTGTTTGGAATATCAGTTTTACATTCTTTCACTCTGTGTCCTTACTGGCAATTTGAGTTTCTTGTAGGCAACATGTTGGTTGAGTCTTGATTTTTAATCCAATCAACCCATTCAACCATATGTATCTTTTAACTAGAAAATTAAGACCACTTATATTCAGAGTTCATTAATGAAAGTATGAACTTTTGCTGGTCATTTTGACTTTCTCAGTTCTTTTGAATATTCTATTCATTCCTTCTCTCTGATCCGCTCCATGTCACAACACCCATTTCCCACTGTGTAGCACTATCAGCAGGTTTATGTGGAAATCACTCCACCAGGTCAGGTCTAGTTTGTGAGGCGACCACCTGCTGAACCAGTGCCCTACAATGTCTGTGGGGTTCTAGAGATGGGGATATGAAGGGTTTTGGAACTCTCAGAGCAGTCCAAACTCAGGCAATAGTTCCCTTCAAAGCCAGACTACCACGCAGATTTCAGATTTCCTATCTATTTGGGCTGTAACCCTGCAGGGGCCAAGAAACTTTCCAATAGCCAGAACTGCTAGTTTCTGCACTGAGTATGCTGGGACTCTCTTTGACCTTTACCCCTACAGAGGGGAGATTCACACATTCCCTAGCTGTGGAGCCTGGGCAGTAGGTGATGGGATGTTTTGTTTCTCTTGATATCCTGCTGTGTTAGGTCTCTGAATTTTATAAGGTTTCCATTTTTCTAATAGTGTCTTCCATAGTTACTCACCTCCATATCCAGTTATACGCCTGCTACTTTGGTTGTTCTTTGTGAGGAAGGAGCACGTGAGTGCTTGGTACCTCTATTCAGTCATTTTGCTTGCTCTCCAAATATATCTCAGCTGATGACTTTTTATGCAACTAAACTGCAATTCAACTCCTCCCTCTGTCTAATCCTGCTTCTCTCACAGATGTTCTCAGAGCACTTTCGAACCAGTGTGCAAATCTTTATAGCAGAGTCTGTTTCCTAGGAAACTCAATCTAAGACAATTGGAACTCAATCTAACACAGCTGATGCTAGTAGTCTGAGAAAAAGGCTCTAAAATGGGAACTTAGAGCTGGATCATGGCCAGCTGTCTGGCAGTGACAACCACTAGTGATGGCAGGTAGAGTATGGTAGGCACCTTCCGTCTTGTTGTAGTAGTACATTTGCTAAAATAAAGCTTTCATAGGAAATGAACTAATGCCATGTAAGTAGAAAGTAAAGCAATGGCAATAACTGAGGCATTAATAAATAAGCACAATGGAAATGGATGGCTCCTGATGAATGCCTTTCATGAACTGGAAATGTTTAAAACAAACTGAAAGTCAAGAAGGCATTCCTGATATCATTTAGAAAATCTTATCTCCTATAGCACAGAGCAGAAAAAGAGAGGGTCAGGCTCCCAACTCACACAAATAAAACTCCAGGGAATGTTGTATTCACAAATCTAGCAAGTCTGCTATGGAAAAGACTGAGACCTATTTGGTAAAAGTGAGATTCAAAGATTTTGAATGGGATATAAGGGTTGATGGAGTTGAAATCCTCAGGAACTACAGAATGTCCCACTATTTCCTACTAAAAGGCTAAGGCCTCCTCTTGTTCGAAGATGATGCAGAGGCCTACGCCTTGCAAAGAAGCATATGCATGCCTCTGTTCTATCTTTACTTTGCCTCCTCGTCAATCCATAATAGCCAGGGCCAACTCCCAACAGAACTGGGCCAAGAAAATACTTGGGAGGAAAGGGGACTATACTCTAAAAGTTCTGCAGTTTTAAGCCAACATTTACCAATAGGAACTAAGAGAGTATTTTATGGAACTACATTCTAAGGATGAGTATGCCAGATCAAGGGAAGAAGCAAGTAGAACATAAAGTTGAATTAAGAGATTACAATGGTATGACGTACTCTTACATGATGCATGACACAAAAATGATGAAAACATACTACTGGGAATATCCTGGGAAGTTTAGATAAAGTGATGAACTAGACCAAGTAGATATGTCAGAATTGTTGTAGTAGATGGTAGAAGAATGAATAAGAGACTCTGTGAGGCTTCAATTTCTAGCTATGATTGAAATATACAGTTCCAGACTAGCTCTCAAAATATATGACAACTCCTAGTGGAACAATAAGCAGAAACTATAGTGCCTGGGATAAAGGAAACTCACAAGCAAGTCCTGAAATCACTCAATTCTTTGCCTTGGGACAATTTCCTAACCACTGTTTAGAATATTGGAGTCACCAGAAAATGGAAGCTCCACTGACCTGAGGAGGTAGATATCAGATTTCAGGAAAGCAGAAGCAACTGGAATCAGCAGGGTGAGGCATCAAAGAGGGAGCTACAGAGGAAGGGACCCCCTCAAAGTCCACGAGAGAGAATCCCTTAACAGTGTGACCACTGTTGACAGTAGCAACTATAAAGTTTAGGGCAAGTCAAAGATTCTATAGATCAAGTAATACCAGTAGAGAGGAAGGAACAGGGTACAATGGAGCTCCAGTACTGCTGGATTTTGACAAAAATTCATTATTACATCTTATGAATTTCCTGACATCTGGCTGAGACACCAGAAAGGCTGTTCTTAAGAATAAAAACCATACCCTTGAGTAAAACCCACTATAAACACCCCACACTTAAGCCTAAAACCAACCAAGCTCTGCCAAGATCCACAGTGGAGACAGAATTTGAAGAATGACTCATGCCAGGTGAGAGAGATTTGGGGAACATCCTGGATTTCTTATCCTGGACTAATAAAGCATAAAACCAGGCTATACAAGTTCAAGATGATCAGTCATCAATTCAATTGTCCCCTAAAACAAGAATCTATACTATTTAGAGGAATGTGACAATCTAAATCTCTGATCTACAATTAAGGAAAAGAAGTCAAGGGAAAAAAAACTCAAAACAGTCCAGATGTTAGACCAACAGGAAAAAAAAATAGCTAATATAAATTATAACAATTCAGTTATTATATATGAACAGATGAGAAAAGTAAAGAAGAGAATGTATAGAACACCAAACAGAAATTATAAAAATGAAAACTCATTGGATGGGTTTAAAAGCATATTACAGAAGGGAAGAAGAAAAAGTGAACTTGAAGACAGATCAGTATAAGCTATCTAATCTGAAGAACAAAGAGAAATAAGAACAATGAACCCCAAGGGTTTGGGGATGTTATGTCTAATATACACATACCTCAAGTCCCAAAAGGAACTTGAGACCAGAAACCCCACCAGAGGACAAAATAATACGAAAGTGTCTAGAAGGAATCTTTTTTTACAGTGTAAGAATTGCTCTGGTGAAAAGAACGACAATATTATTACAAAGCTCAGTGATGACTGTCCTCTAATCCCTAGGGCTGATGGAAGGGGAGGCTATTATATGACTGAGACATCTGACAGCAATAGCATGACAGGATCCTCCAAAATTAAAAGTTAGTAGTACCCACCCTTCAGAAAAAAAGTGGGCTTAATTATCTTTATGAATAGCATTCAGAGATAGGAGTTAGAAGACAGACTGGTAGTCAAAAAGGGTCATAGTCTATAAATGACACTTTAATTTCAAAATGAAGTCAAGAATGGATTATTGAGGAACTGAAGGCAGTGCTCTAATAAACAAACAAACAAAAAAAACAGCTTGACTAAACTGAACATGAACCAGTTTTCACATCTGGCTATCAATGTCTGAAAGGCTAAGTTTCCAGAAGACCTGCCTGACTCTGAAAAACAGGTAAGTATACCTAGTAATGATAACCCACCATTCATTGAGGAAAGGGGAACACTCAGTCATTTTGAGGACTATTAAACACAAGGTTCAAGTTGACACTGACCCCTATCATATGCCTTCATGGGGTGGGATTATAAATGGAATCTTGGCCCAAGTCCAGCTCATCACAAGTTCACTGGGTCCACAGATTCACCCACTGATCATTTCTCTAGTCACCAAATATAAAATTGGAACAAACATTTGGTAGGTGCCAGTACCCCAATAGATTTCTTAGTCTATTATAATGGAAAAAAAACAAAGTCTTCAAAAAATGCACTACACCATGTAAGCCACATAGACCAGTAGATGTGTTAGCTGTCAGTGATGACTATAAATCTAGAATTAATAGCAGAGGAGGAAAATATTCAATAGCAACTGCTCACCATACATTTTCTCAAGCCTTAACTGATTTATTTGTCCATTTACTGTGAGTGAAGTCCTAGGGAACACTAAGAGATGCCAAGTACCATTCAGGTGCCAAACATTCTTACCACATTGTGTAACAACAGCCCTATCTCCTCTTGATAATTAATTACCCCTTCTAGTGACTCCTTTCTTTACTTGATTTTTGGAATATGAAATCCAGTCAGATAAAGATTAAAGCTTATTGATACTGACTTTTACTTTCCTACTGTGATGGCCCAGTAGGGGATAATTTATACTACTAATCTTTCTCTTGTACATTTCCTTAGGAAAGACACCTACAAAAACCTACAGAAACTCTTCCCAAATAGTGGTGAACTTACCTTGCAGTGTTAAGTAAATCCAATCAGCACAAGAGTGAACTGTATTGTGGTGTGGTGTACAGAATATTTCGTTTCAGACAGATAATGCCCTGCTGCTAGAAGGGAGTACTGTATGCCAATGATTTATAGCCCAGTCCCTCACCCAGGGACTGCCCTTAGACAAAGAGAGCTACTTCACCCATTGAACAGCCCTCAATGACTGGCTGCTAAGAGGTACAAAGTTCTTTCAAGTACAACTTGAAGGGCCCCCCTAGCTCTACAGCTCCTCTTAAGATCAGCCACACTACATTTAACTACTCTTTTTGTCCCCTTCACAGATGATACTGCTGAAATATTCTCCAATACACTTCTTGAATGCAAATTTGACCAAGAACCTGAGTGTTCTGGAGGAATCTGACCCAATTCAGCTAACTCAGTTTTAAAAAGAACTTGTAAAATTGACAAGCTTCATCTGTTTTGTCAGTTTTTAATATTTTAATTAGAAGAGTTTGCTGCTCTGTTAGATCTTACCACATCATTATATTTGTATTCTCCATGGTGCTCGAGTTTAATAACCCTTGAAATAACTGTGTAAGTAGAAATAACAACCAGGACCTAACATTTATTGGAACAACTAGTTTTCCAAATGAACTGTATTCTACAATGTTAACAGATACTGTTTTTCCCATAAGCAAACTGAAAAAATAATACATTTATTTTCTAACTTACAGCTCTCCTGACTTCCCAAAGAACCAAGTCATAAAACCTTCCAACCTACCAAGTCTCATATAGCCAATCAATATTCCTTCATTAGGCATGACTATTCTATTTCTCGAAGCTCTAAAACATTTTTCAACTGTATAAATCCCGTGACTAAAGATATACCTCAAAAAATACACTGCCTCAAGTAGGAAGTCACCCTGTAACCATTCACTTTAAACACAGAACAGAATATCACTCATAGGGTTCAGGGTGAGTTAATGCAGTGAAAGCCAGCTTACCACAACAAGCAGGGAACTTTTCTCTTACCCCACTATTCCCAAAGAAGAGAGGAATACCCTCCATGGAAATTTACATATTTACTTACTTACTTTCTTTTTTTTAAGAAATAGGATCTTACTATGTTGCCAGGCTGGTCTCAACTCCTGGGCTCCAAGCAGCTGGAACTATGGGCATGCACCACCATGCTCAGTTTATATTGTGGAAGTTACTTTCAAAACAGGAAGGAAGAGCATGGTCCAGAAATGTCCTCTTTCTCTCTTTATTTTGAGCACATGCTTATTGTGACTAGCACCCAAATGAAGAGCAGTTATAAATCACATGCCAATAGTAAATATATTGGCACTATTCATAAAGGTCATATCAAGCCTATGGCTATACACCATGAATTACACAGAACAGCTTTAAAAAATTGCTCTATTACATTCACTTTATGATGTTCTTTAGACAGCCTAAAAAAAAGAGTACCTGGGAAATGAGGTATGATTTCACCATCTAGTTTGTAAGCAACTCCAACTTTGATTTCCATAAACATGTCCAAAATATCCAACTTCGTAAGGGCCAACCTAAATTCAGAAGAAAACACAATATTAAAATAGCAAACTCTTAAAGTCCCTAACGTCTAATTTGGTTGATGCAGGAGTAAAGGAAAATTCATGCAAAGCTCAAAGTTCCAAAGCATTTCTGAAAACTTGTTAGGATTATATTTTAAAGCGTGCCACACATAAAACAACTAGAAAATGACATACTGATGCATATTTTTTATATAGGCAACTAAGTTACTTTCTAGAAATTACAACAGATTTTTACTGTGACTCCACACATCCTTACTCAGCTTTCTTATGACCAATCAACAACACATTTGTGGGAGGGCTGCCTAAAGTTAAGAATGCATTCTGTGGCCATGGAACACATGGATGATCATAAAATATAAGTACTTTTACACACATGCCATTATCCCTCACTTTTTCACTCTGGTTACCATCACCTCCACCCTTCTGGTCAGAAAATGTCAAAGAGTGAGAAAACCACATCAAGGACTTCTTCATGATACATCAAAAATTCCCAGTAAACTGACTGGAAAAACAGGTTTTTAAAGGAAAATCTGTGGAAATTAGATAGAACATTGCATTTGGGATTCTTATCCACAAGCTTTTTTTAATCTTATTCTGGGTTTTTTTTTTTGGGGGGGGGGGGCCTAGAAATTCAGCCTAATTAATGTGGATATGAACACATTTATTTACATATTTATGTATATATGTTAATAACTTTTACTAAGCATTTTCAATGAGCCAGTGCACTATACATTCTCACTACATTTCTTACCTCATTTTCAAAATACCCCATGACACAGGTAAAGTATACCTCCATTTTAAAGATGATAACAACTATAGTACAGACAGATTAACTCACCAAGTCACACAAGCATGATACCTGGATCTGAGATTTGAATCCAGGAAGTCAGACATTTGTATAAGCACATTGTGCTTATTCTACGTACCTATCATCCATCCTTCCACCTACTTATGTCTTCCTCTCTATACAAAGATGTGAGACCATCATGATTCTTTTCTATCAACCTTAGATATCTACCAAGTTAGCTTGGGGTCCCTGTCTTTATATATCCTTCCACTATTTCTTGGTCCACTTCTACCTGGAACTATCATTTCAGTTTGGAGAATAAAGAGTGAAATTTTTCTATTAAGATACCACCCCAAATTTATGCTCCACAAAATTAAACCTGTGGTCATGAACTGTCCTATTATTTCCTGAAACAAATGTTTCTGAAGACAACTCACGCAGTAAATCCATTGATCATATGAGCATATTTGAGTAAAACAAGGTCCAACCAGCCACATCTTCTTTTCCTTCCTGTAGTCACACCAAACTCCCTACCCCTTGTTTGTAATAATTCTCCAATTTCCTAGAAAATGGAAATTAAAACCTATGAATTAGGATATTAATATTATAAATGAATTGTATTAGTTTATATAACAAGATAAAGTCTCTTTGTGATAAACACCTTACAGAAAATACTTAAGCTAAAAATAGTAGGTTTTACCTGAGGTAGGCTCTAGTTGGAATAGATTCACTTTTTGTTTTTTAGTATTTTTTAAGCCAATATTTCTTATGATGTTATATAGATAAAAATGAAAATTGGTAAGATTTTCAAAAAAGAAAACTAAATGCTATTAAAAATGAGTCATTAGTTTTTATTAAAATACACAAATCCAGCAGAACATTCCAAGAACCACTGAATTTGATGTTTTCATGAAAACTGTAAGGCAAACATATCTAATAATCCTTGTAAATGAACCGCAAGGCACAGGAGATAAGAACTTATTAAGAAAAACAATAACAAAAACCAAAGCATGACTTTTTCTTCCCATATTTTTTGAACTGAATTTACTGGGAAATAGGCTTACATTGTCTTGCTCTGTAGGAAAGGCACCAATACCAACTCTCGTGGTATAAGCTTTCACAACTCCATACACTTCACCAACATTTTGAGGTGGCATACCCAAACCTGTACAAACACCTCCAACAGTACAGTTTGAAGAAGTTACAAAAGGGTAAGTCCCTAAAAAAAGAAACAAACATCAAGATACACAAATGTATATATACAATTTAAAACAGAATTATTATTAAAAGTCTTCATTTTCATATATTCTATTTAACCAACAGACTTGATCATAATGATGCTGACCTCTCTCAAACCTTAATGTTTCATTTTTGACTCTTTGTAATGAGATAAAATTGTAGGTGGTTAGAGCTTTAACTAAAGTGCTTATACTGGAGAGGATTCATGAGTGAGTGCATGCAGTTGCTGAATCAACTCTGTATGATAGGTATTCACTTAATATATTGCAAAAGAATTTAATACAAAAACCCATCTACATATTTGAAGAGTCTCCTGTTATTTTAAAACAAATGACTCCCTGACATGAATATTTAAGATGCAGCAGCAACCTGGAGTGGTAGCAACATACTAAGAATTGTGTGGTATTCAACATTTCCCAAGCTTTTAATCTTTATTCAAGGAATAATCCCTGAACTACAAGATAAAATTTAAGAATGGTGAACTTTTCTCTCCCTTCAAACTTAACTCTTTGCCAATTAGACACCAGTTTCTTTCTTGATTGACTAGCCATATGATAGTATCAAAATCATGTACCTACTATATCAAAATACTTTCTTTGGTTTTCTTAAAGTCAATGAAATATCAGTTAAAGCTGAGAACAATAATAATAATCATGAGAGATTATGTTTAGGTGCAACTACCAACAAACTAATGGGGCAGTAGATTGAAGATATTAAATAGTAACCTTTGAGGATGGAGGAAATACTCTGAATCCATCTAGAAAGTCTCATGCACAGGAAGTGAGTCAGTGTAAGCAGGCTTTCACAGATCTTAGAATGCACAAATGTATACTTATTTTAAAAAAGGATGAAATTCATAACTTATGGAACCCAAATCTATTGAATCCAAATGATTTCCTTTTTTTCTAAATCAGTATAAAACTTAACATTATGTGTTGTGTTTTCAACAATATTTCTTTAAAAAATTTTGGCATAAGTTGACAAACTTTCATAATTCCTGAATACCACAAGCTAACAGTATCACTTTGAAACTCCTTAATGTTAATATTAATTATTTATATCTTAAGCACGTTAGGCTTAGTCAAGCTGCCTATGAATTATATCTCACTTACCAAAATCAATATCTAACAATGCTGCATTTGCACCTTCTACCAAGATTTTCTTTGGTGGTCCATGTAGGGCCTCATATAGGAAATAAACTCCATCTCTCACCATTGGTTTAATCCTTTCCATATAACCCTATGTACAAAGACAAAAACCAATTTCCATGTATACTAATACACTTACAATTAACCAGTATAAGTATAAATTACTTGACTGTATGATAATGAAAACTGACAAATGAAAAGAGAAAGAGGCTGGTGACAGTGCTCATCTTATTGCAAAATTTGGATTAGCTTTGGTCTCTCATGTTGATTCACTAGGACCAGAAAAGAGACACTAGATCAAGAACAATTATATAGGACTGACATATGTTTCAGTGGCAGAGTGCTTGCTGTTTGCTTAGCACAGGTTCTATCTCTAGCACCACCACCAAAAACAAAACAAAACAAAACAAAAAACCCCAAAAACCAACATTCTACATTAACCTTATTGTAAATAATGAAAATCTTCCAAGTAACAAAGAATTTGTGCTTCATAAACCAGCTTTCAGGAAAAATTTTGAACTGATCTTTTAAATTTTATAAGATACTTTAAGAGCTGCATTTATAATCCATGTAACCAGGAATTTTGAAATATGCTTCAGAGTAATTATCAAAATGTGGTGAGGGCCACAAGTTATATTGCCAAGCATGCAAATATCAATAGCTGATTGCTATTATTCTTTTTCATTGTATTCTATTACCGTAAAATATCTACACAATATTAATATCAAATATTATTTTATGTATAAGCATTACAAAGAATCTTCAAAACATTCAAAATTTTAGAAATACTATTTAAATTCAGAATTCAAGTAAAAATGTAATATAAACAAGAACTTCCCCTAAGTTCTATAGTGTAAATGCACTAAAACCTAGTTTCAACTATGGAAACATCCGAGTATGTTAAACCCACTGATAAATGTATGGCCTCTCCTTGGCTCTAGTCTAATTCCTTATTTATTTCTGTTTTTAGTTCTTTTTGTATGGCTAAAATGACCATTCTATTTATCAAGCCCCTTGTTCCTTATAGACCTGGTTTAATATAACTTTGCCTATAAAAATTTTCTTACCCAATTTTATTTATTATTCTTCATCTACTTTACATTCACACAGAACATTTGTAAAATGGAAATGAAAGGTCATACCCATACTATAGTGCATAAATATTTCCAAGCTGTTAAAGAAAATGGAGTTCTTTTAAAATTTGGGTTTTTTTTTTCTTGGAAACCAATGAGTGGACAGATCAATGTCTATGACTATTCTGGAATAGCATACTGTTTGTAGATTCCTGTTCAGTTCTAGAAGTGAGGTTGATACTTTAGAGAAAGTAAAAATCAGAAACACAGGAAACATGTGAAATTTATCAATGAATATGAGGAACAGAAAGACGGAAAGGTAGAATCCTATACTGATGATCAACAAGGCATCACTGACACCTAACATTTATCCAATGTGGGCCTCATCTTTGGCCAATTACCTTATTTGTCTCTTAGGAATACAGAGTGCTAAAGAAATTGATCCTGTGAGCTATCAAGCCTAAAATGGGTTGGTTAACTTTGAAAATTATCATCCCACACTTGACACTTTGCTGAACTATACTCCAACTGCTATGAGTGGTTTTTATATAATGAAAATCTAGGCTTCCTTCTGCTCAAAATTATCAGAGAGCTTTCCATTATCTCCAGGATCAAAGTTAAATTTCTTACCATGCATATAAGATCTAGATCTATGATCTATCTGGTCCCTAACTTAAGTTTACCTTCCTACATTACTCTTGTTCCCCTCCCAATATTTTGTGTAAGCCAAACAGGCTGTCTCTAAGACAAACTGGTAAATATCCTTTATCAGTTCTTACACAAAACTGTAATGAATGCAAGACCTAGAGGCTAATTTGGCAAACAAGCATTAAAAGGACATTAAAGAGGTCAGAAAATATTACCTTGAGTTTTTGTAATTCACCTTCAATGTCTATTTCCAAAGTAGGATATATAGATTTGTACTGGTTAGCTAGAACCTTGAACCTGAGAAATACAGGTTAAATCAATCTATTAGCTCTTATAAAAATGTTTCAAATAATATCATTCAATTTAAATGATTTCTGTAGATTATAAGTGGTCTTATCAGCACATTAATCCTAACACTGATATGTGTATAAGAAGGGAAAAGAATAGTGGGACTGAAATCTGTAAACACAAAAGACTTAAATCTGTATTATACTGAATAAAAAACAGAAGGAAATGGTTTACATGATGTTTGTAAAAGAGGCAGACATTAGCAATTTGTCTCTTAAGAGCCTTCTTAGGTATCTTCCCTGTACAAACAAATATAAACTTAATAGAAAAAGGATGTAGCACATTATTATAGCCTTAATGCCACATATTAAACACAACCTATCACTGAGTTACTGTATAGCTGTTTGGTGATTATCAGGTTTCCCATGAAGATTTTTCTATACAGAGTATGTGTCAATGTGGCATTTCTATTTTTCAAGGTGCGCTTGGTACATAATAATTTACCAGGACCTGAGAGGCTAATTATTTCTGGGTGGGAGGTCATATGGAATTTTTGATGTGAAAAACCAAAGATCAAGACTGTAGATCATGGTGATTTACATCAAAGTACTGCTACACCCACTAAAAACATTGTTTCTCAGCAAACCATCCCATTATCCAATCCTTAAATAGAATTCTTATGTTGTCTTCTTGAGATACTACTGATGTCATTAGCATGTTCTTTTTCATGAAATAAATCTGAAATTAACGACCAATTAGCATGCAAAACAAATAATGCCCGTACTTCATATAATAGTCATAATAAAGCCAACCATCATTATTTAACTAGAACACCGATTATACCATTTGGCAACCAAGATTGCAGTCTACATGATTTCAAAAATGAGATAATGGAAAGCTCTCTGATAATTTTGAGCAGAAGGAAGCCTAGATTTTCATTATATAAAAACCACTCATTATATAAAAAACACTTGTGAAACACAAGTTAGTTACCTCTCAGAGAAGCCTTCAAAGTCAGAAACAAGATCGCACATCCGAAGTCCACTCCGAGCAGCTTTGGAAGAATAAACTGGGCCAATGCCCTTTTTCGTGGTACCCAAACTTAAAAACAAATTAAAACAAGCTTTGAGTTAGATAAGAAAGATACATAGGTCTTATGGCCAAATCATCACAAGGAATGAAATTACATATGAGTATTTATTTATGTTATTTCCTGTGAGTTTATTTTTATAATTCTATTGAAAGGGCATTCCAATATTTTTTGAAAGTTCTGTCCTAGAATTTAAACATAAAGGTGCTCGAACGGTACAAAAAATATCATACTTTTTTCCTGCTTGTTCTTGTCTCTGTTGTTCCTGGATACCATCAGCTGCTTGATGAAAATCAAATACTGAAGAGAAATAAAACAAAACCATGGCTGTTATTGAAACAAAAATAATATACAAAAATAAAACATACTGCATTTCAAATTACTGAAGTTATAATAGGTCTCATTTCATAATGCCTATATAAATTGTAAAAAGTGATAATGGTAGGGGTAAAAATTATAATGCCAACTGGCACATTAATATGAAAATATGCCTCTGATTGATTGCAGTCTACCTGATTTCAAAAATGAGTCATTAAGAAGCTAATTTTGGAACATCCTACCCTATAATTCTATAAACTCAGTTTACAAAGATATCCTTTTTTCTTCAAGTTCTAGACTCCAGAAATCTAGGAATCATTCAATTCCTCCTTCTTCCTCACTAGTGCCAAGCTTCCATCACCTTTCACTAAAAGTAGACTAACGTGTATATCTATTCTCACTCTTGGATATCTCTAACCCAAATTCTTTAATCTGCCAAAACCATTTTTCCAAGACATAAAAATAACATCAACACTCCCTTGCCCTTAAAAAACTCAATGGCTTTGACGCTCTGCCACTTTCTTTGCCTTCTGGTCACAATGGCATACTTTGCAGTCTTAGACTAAAAGGTATATGCTTCTCCTGCAAAGAATTCACCTCTTCCTACATCTACACTAATTTGTTTCCCCTACCAATCGTCTTCAGTATTTGGACAATGTTAGTTTAGCTTGCTGGTTAATTTCCTGTCCCAAAAAGTTCTCAAATATTTACTGACTGAATGAATAGCTGGTTTATAGATGAGGCAGGCCCAGAATTTGTCTATAAACTTCTAACCAAAGTTTCTTGGGTTATGTTTTATTTTTAAATATGGGAATATAATCTACAGACCACAAAACTCACCCATTTTTAAGCATACAATTCAGTGAATTTTAGTATAAATAACTATGGTTTCTTTTCACCAATGATACTATCATTTCCAAATAAGTAGAAATGAGTGTAGGTTTTTTAACAGAATGACTGATAGAAGTTTCTTAAAATTAGTGGCATTTGAAAAAACAACAACAACAAAAACTATTTAAAAGTTTTAGAAGACTAACATTGTAATTAGAAATAGTGAAACTCAAAAAGCTTGATAAAACCTAGCCTAAAACCACCTTCTGACTAACCATGTAAATTAATCATCCCTAATTTCTTCCGTTTAAGGTAACTGTCAAGGCAGTATTCTCCCCTACTTGACAAGGTTTATAACCACCCTTTTGACCTCATAACAGGTTTCTCTGGTGGGGGAGTTCTGACATTTCGTACAGTAGTAAGTTACATTAAAGATGCTAAATTTATATTGTGTGATTTTAAATTATCCAGTAAATCAAGATTACTCTCAGTGCCACAGAAGTAATAACAACATCCTTAAAATCACACTAGTATACTATGTACCAGAAGACATCTATAAATATATTCAGAGCACCATTTGCCCAATATTGGAAACAAATTTTCATCATGGTACTGTGGATTAATTGTGGTATAGCCATATAATGGGATACTATAACAGCAATGAAAAACTTCTTCTTTGTGTAACAATAAAGATAAATCTCACAAAATGTTTGTGGAAGCCAAGGGATTACATACTATAGACAAAACCAATCTATGAGAACATTAACCAAAACAGCTAATATACTAGAACATAAACATTTCTCAACAAATTTTAAAAGACTGGAATCATACAGAGTATATCTTTTGTCCACAACAAGTATATTAGAAATAAATAATAGAAATCAGGAAAATCTTCAATATTTAGTAACATAAATATGGTCAATAACTTATGGGTCAAAAAATGAAATGAATGAAAATGAATATGCAGAATGTCCAAATTTGTGGAACATAGCTAAAGTAATGTTAGAGGGTCATATACAATTTTAAAAGCTTGTATTAGAAAAGAAACATCTAAAATCAATGATCTAAGCTTCTAAAGAGACTAGGAAAAGAGCAAATTAAAATCAAAGAAAAAATGGAGAGAATTAAAACTAATGAAATAGAAAACAGAAAAATCAACAAAACCAAATGTTTATTTTTAAAAAAATCAAAAGTGATAAAATGGAAAAAGCTCTAGTTAGACTAACAAGATAAAGATGGAGAAAATACAAATGACTAATGCCAGAAAGAGGCATATTACTAAGAGTCTACAAAAGTTCAAAGGCTAACTTTTGGGGAAAAAAAATGGAAGGCACTAAAAGAAAACTCCAGACAAATGGAAAGAAAGAAAAGAAAAAAGTACATTTTGACAAAGTGGGGTAAGGTATCTGAGTTAGTTGCTGAGCATCAAAATGAATAAAACATAAAAATTCTTTCCCGCATGGTCACAACCAGGGAATAATGCCCAGAAGATAAATGACTTGTCAGGGGACATACAATTAATATTTGGATCCAAATGCCCAAAATTACTAAGTTCATAGTTCCCTCTCTTATACTATGCTTCATATTATCTAACACACTTTATACAAGCTTAATCTCATGACATTATGGGAACTTTTTTTAAAAAAGTCTTGGAAATCATTTAGAGTTTAGGGAACTGTCCTTTCAGTCACATGAGAGGGAAGAATCACTGAAGCAAAGATTAATGTGGTTTCATAGCAATGATTCTCAGCCAATTTTCCAGTTAGCTATTTGACTTTTTTTAAATGATAGTATTTATTCCTCTTCACCATTATAGAATCGATCATATTAACATATGTAGATTTTATTATACAGAACTATATAAATAATCGTATTATGCTTATTTCATACAGCCTGTTTAATAATATGCATTTTAATGCATTCTATGTACTATTATCCATATTACTACCAACAACTAAATTTTAGTTAGCTCGTCTTCTCTAGGACCACTTCTCCACTAGAAATTATTCCATTTAAGAACAAAAATAAATGGAAAAGAAAAAATCATTATTAAGGAAACATAATAAAATTATGATCAGAAATTAAAAAATAGTGATTCACATTGGTAGTGGTCTATTCTTGTCACTCTGAGCATTTTGACCCTTTTGCATATCTACTGTCTTTTCTTTTTGGTAGTCTAAAGCAGTTAAGTGACTTGATTAGCCACTGTGCTATACCTAAGCAAACTGTCAGTGATGGACCCAAAGCATTTACATGAAGAAGGAAAATGGAGAAACTGGGCAGAAACACAGTTTCATCTCTTAACACTTTGTTCTTTCCAACTGAATAATTGTATCAGAGCATTCATATTTAATACAGCCAAACTATATCATATGTACACTGAGATTAAACGTTACTCAAAGGGCAGTTATTAGTTATTACCTATTTTAAAATCCTAAATTGTGGTATACTGATTTAGATAAAAAATTTTCATAGCAGATCACAGAGAACCACTGGAAAGTTTTGAAGATAAGTAGTCGTTTTCATCATCTAACATAATGGCTTATTTTATAAATAATGTAGGGGCAATGGATAACAAAATGGCTACATATAAAAATCATGAAGGTGGAAGTTAAAGATGACTTGTGCTAACATAATCAAATAAGTTTAATGAGTAGTTGAGTATAAAAAGCCAAAAATATCACAAAAGTACTTCATAAAAAAATTTTTTTCCTTATGTATCTGAGACAGTAAGAAAAAAAATTATTTTTTTGTATATCAGAATACATAAAAGTTTAAAATAAAAGTTCTAACATAAGCCAATAAATAAAATATATTGTTAAAAATCAGATTCTGAAAATGGACACCACAAATGACAGATTTACAACCTCCTTCCTCTGAGAAGCAAGCAAAATAATACCTTTGTCTTTATCCAAATTACATGTTATTATGGTCTATAAAGCTTGTTCTTTCTTTGTTATCTTGGTTATACACCTAAGTTATCAATTACTCTGGAAATACTAAAGGTTTCCTTTAAATCCAAGTATTACTGATGATTAATATTTTCATAGTTTAAACATAGTCAGTTGAGATAACTACTACTCACAAGCATACTTTCATTTTTAGAAAATACCAGTTTTCCTACAGTTCATCTAGTTACACTAACAGCTCTCAAAATCTTGAGTATAGAACAAGAATAACCATTCTACTCATAGATGACATACAGGATAATTATATTAATGTAAAAATGTTTTGCTATTCTAACACAAAATTGTTCTTTTCAGAGTTTTATATTAAAAATATAAACTATGGCAAACACTGTAATGCAAAATAGAACATTTTTACATAAAACAGTATGTTAATTCAGCACAGTATACTTCAAACAAGCTATTTTATTAGGTTAATAAGATTATGGACAGGATTCAAGTCTGTGGCTGTTATACGAAGATATCATTATTTGACTTTTGCACGTGGCTGAGAAATACTGTAAGAACCTCAATGAAAGCTGCCTTTTAAGTAGAGGTCAATGGTAAAATTTTAGCAGCTACTGCCTCAGGATACATACATATTTAAATACAGTTTGAGTTCAGATCTATCATAGAAGTTTCTCTGTGTTGGTTATTGTCTCTTAACTATGTCACTGCTAATTAACAATTCTATTAATTTAGAAATAAGAGGGAAGAAAACCCCAAATTTATTAGTGGTGCTTAAAATTAATTTTAGACTTGAGTTTGCTGTAATTAATGGAGGAAGACTAGTCTGAATGAAAAGCAGTAATTATTATATTGTAGGCACAGAGTCACTCTAAAGATTCGCCAAGGGGAAGATGTATTTTTACTCAAGTATTAATATGTACAAATAACTATTCTTTGTATTTCAGTATTCCTTAGTTTTTTTGTTATTGTTGTTTTTTACATAATATCTTTATTTTTATGAGGTGCTGAGGATTGAACCCAGGTCTTCATGCATGCTAGGCAAGCACTCTACCACTGAGCCACAACTGCAGCCCCGGCTTAGTTTTTAATAGAATTAAAGATGTCCCATAAAATACTGCTTATGTTATTCATTTGCTTGGCTAAACCTGTCTACATGTTTATTTTAGCCTAGCCCTTGTCAAAAGAAAAAAAAATCAGTAAGATCTGGTATATTTGGGTCAATTACAATCCATCTTTCTTAGGTTAAATAAAACATTAGAGACAAAATTAGGTACTAAATGCTTTCATTTTATAAATCCAGGGGAAAAACAGTTATAAATAAATGTTATGTCCTCCTTACCAATATGAGCTCTGTCAGATATGATAAGCCTCTTTTCCCAGCCTTCTAGACCTAAAAAGGGAGAAAAGATACATTTTATCAAGCATTTTGGGTAACAGTTTTGTTTTGTTTTTTTAATCTTAACTTCTTTATAAACAGAATGTCTAAAACTGTTTTCTTTTGGGTATTTTCTTCTGCATACGAAAATCACGTGTAACAAGTTTTCTCACCTGTCACTCATTCAATATATAAACTCATTTACTCTCTTATCTCTTCAAATGTTTTGCTCTACAAAACTCGAGTTCCAATTCAGTTATATTCACATAAAATACTTCCAGGAACCCCAAAAGCAAATGATAAGAAAATATTTTGATGGACATGGGGGTGGGAGGTAGGTACTTAGCAAGGGAAGAAATAGAGAGGGGAATTAATTTTAGGAATAGCATCCTTACCCAAAAAACATTTAATAAAAGTGTGACTAAACAAAATAATGGAACTTTCTAATTGTTCTAAAGTACTCTCAATTATTTAACTGAATTATAACTAAATATATGCATATTCCCCACTTAATTGTGGATATTTGAGAGCAGGGGTTGTGAGATTTCATGGCAAAGGGCTCTTCATACAATGTTTATATTTAAAAAAGGGGAGGGGAATGACTGGATAAACAAATCCAAACAGATGATTTTCTTTAAAGGCAGTATATTGGTAAGCTATATATGTATCCTAAAGATAAACCACCAAGTTCCAAACATTTTCAAAATTATTATTTGATACTACGAATAAGTTGTATGGATTGAGGGTATAGTTCATTCATAGAACACTTGTCTAGTACATGAAAGGCCCTGGGTTCAATCCCCAACGCCATAAAAAATTAAATTTAAAAAATAATAAAAATTAGTTGCTTCCTTTGATAATATCCAAGATTTGTTTTGAAAGTTTATTCTGTGTAGATTAAGGATAAGAACCAACTTCTCCGGGCTGGAATTGTGGCTCTGTGGTAGAGTACTTGCCTGGCATGTATGAAGCCCTGGGTTCAATCCTCAGCACCGCATATAAATAAATTAATTAATTAAATAAAAGATCCATTTACAACAACAACAAAAAAAAAAAAAAGAACCTTCTTCTCAGTAAGTAATGTGCTAAAAGGTAAACCTCTTTTACAGTTGTTTTTGACATGTAAATATGCATTCTAAAGCTAGTTTAGGGAATGTCTTAAGAAAAATGTTACAAAGAAGCCCAGGAAAGGATTCAGCATGGTGAAATAGGCCAGAAGGAAAAAAGAGAGTAGGAAAAAATTTTAAAAGGACAAAAAGAAGGGCAGAGACCAGCATCGGAAACCCGAGTTGACCAATTTAGAAAGCCCAGACTAGGACAGTTTTTGTGAAAAGGCAGGAAAAAACAAAAGATGGAAGCAAGACAGGGTTCTGTAAGGTTCAATCCAGTTTTTAAGAACACTTGAGAAGGACTGCTGCGTTTAAACCTGAATAATAAATTTCAACAACAATAATCAAAGTATTTTAAGTTTGAGGTCATCTAAAGGGAAACTCTACTAATGATTTTCCTTAATCATGCATTATTATTAAATTCCCTTCATACCTCAAGGAGTTTGCTAAGTTGATCAGTAAAGGGTAAAAATTCAAGGGTATTTCTTTAAAGGCAATGGGAATGGGTATAGTGCACAAAAGAAGCATTCCCTTCGTTTGAAGGGAAACAATCCCCTTTCATCTTGGGGTTGCAGCAACCAGGAAGAGCTCCATAACTAGGAAACAAGAATGACAGTAACTCATGAACTTACTAGAACTGTGCCATGAACACACAGTGATTCTAGATATCTTAAGATAAAGTTTGCAGGTGAGCAATGTGTCAACAAATCAGGACCTACACAAGGGCATTATGTTTGGTCCTTTTGTTTGTTTAAAATACTAATTATAATTTAGTAACTGACACCAAAAAAAATTGTTACTATAATTTTAAGACAGAAATGTTAAGTTTGTCTGGCATGAGATCCTAATAAACCTGTACAAAAAATAACAGGTTATCAGTCATACTCATTCTTTCCTACCTTTTCCTTTTTGAACATTTTTCTCTGCTTCTTCAAACAATCCAGGTAGATGAATCACCACACCATTTCCTAGAGGAAAACAAATAATCCTGGACCTTAAACATCTGTAATTATAGTGTATAAAATATTAAAATATAGACAGCTATAATAACCATTTATCTACAATAATAGAAGAATTAAGATACTTTAATTAATAAGGCATTCTAACTTATCAAGGAGTTACCACAGAAATATTAATACATTTTATACAGTCATATAATGTAAACACATATATAACACACACAATTAGAATATAAAAACATATAATTAGAATATAAAAGCACTATAATTACAATCAATGTACGTTAAAAATTTCTTTAAAACAAAGTGAAGGGTCTGGGTTTGTAGCTTTGTGGCAGAGCACTTGCCTACTAGCATGTGTGAGGCACTAGGTTCGATCCTCAGCAGCACTACCACATAAAAACAAAAAAAAATTAAACAAAGTGAAATGTGTTATTTTGAATAAAACTAGTTATGTAGTTTTGGTCAGGTAGACTCTAGACCAATGTCTTTCAAATTGGAAAATCACACTCTACTTAAATGGTCATAAAATCAATTTAGTATTGAACAGCCTTTAAAAAAATTTTTTAAAGTAGAAAAGAAAATACATTGTATCACTTGTCACAGGGTTCAGAATTAAATTCTACTTATGGTGAGTCACAGTTTAAAGTGTTTAGAAAAGAGACTTGGTGATCCAATTCTTCTATAGAATTAAGAAACTGCCAAGGATCACAGATGCATGCAAAATAACTACTTCAGAAAGTATTCCTGCTAAAAGATCTGAAAGAGTTACAAAGAGCCAAAGCCAGTGTATTCCAGAGGGTACCATGGTCAGTGAACCATATGGTGAGAAATAAAATCAGTTTTGATAATTAAACATGAATTGCGAAGGCTAGGGATATAGCTAAGTTGGTAGAGTGCTTGCCTTGCATGCACAAGGCTTGGTTCAATCCCCAGCACCACACACACACAAAAAAGAGTAACATTATCAATTCCCATACATTTCAGTTTAAATACTTACCAATGAATGCTGTGACATTTGGATTAATTATCCCACTGGGTAAAAGATGAAAATCATATTCCACAGAATCTACAACAACTGTATGGCCAGCATTATTTCCTCCCTGAAATATAAAAGAAAATTGAGCCTGGTAATAAATATAACAGATAATATGTTTCCTTTCAAAGTGAATTAATGAATTCCTGCTTGAATGTCAATATCACTTAATTAAAGAAGCTCAAATATTTGTCAACTATACTGCCTTCATTAAAGACTTTAAAATAGTTTGCTTTTTTTCTTCCCCACTATAGTACATGTGAGTGATTACCCTAAAAGGATCTAGAAATTGGAGAACACAGGTTTCTGGAAGACAGGGAAATCTTTGTAAAAAGGGGGGGGGGGGGGTGGAACAAGTGAAAAAGTACACAAAACAATTTGTTCATTAGTCTCTTTGGCATTATGCAGGGTGTGTGGCAATCTAACTAATTATCCATGATATTTTATTTATACAAAAAAATATCTCTAAGATAAAAAGGTATAGTCTAGCCAGACCTGGTAGTGCATGCCTATAATCCCAGTGACTAAGGTAGGCACATCATAAGTTTGAGGCTAGCCTCAACAATTTATAGAGACTCCATCTCAACATAAAAAATAAAAAGGGGTAGAGATATACCTCAGTGGTAGAGTGCCCCTGGTTTGATCCCCAGTACCAGGGGGTAAACAAGTTACCCTAACTTGATGTAAATATTCATATAACTCCCACTGTCCTTAAAATATGTTAAGCAAGCAAATTTGTGATCTGAAATTTATATTCTTATATGGACTTAACAACTCGGATATTGGATGTTTCCCAAGTAACTCCCCGAAATATTGTTATCCGAAGATTCTAATGAGTAAATCAGCCTTCTGCATCTAGTTTAGTGACAGACAGATCCCTAGAACTTTAGATAATATAATACATGGAGTCAAGGAATCTTTTATGTTCAGAACCACAGTACAAAGCCATGATGAGATTTCCACTTTATGAAGCTTTTGCCTACATAATCAATAAAAAACAAAATGTCAAATTACAAAATTAGGTCCAAGGAAGACTGAAAATATGAGTGATCAGATAATTTTTCTGTTATAAAGCATGAAAAAATACTTAGAAAGTTTTAAAAGTAAATAGCAAACTAGGACCATGAAAAACAACCTTAACAACACTGCTGTTGTGACACGTAAAAAGAAAAGTAAAAAAGAATGACTAATTTGATTACAAGGCTACTTTCAAAAACATGAGTGTTTACTTTTTATGAAATCATCATAGAAACTGAATTCACAAATACACCAGAAAAACAGGTCCAATTAAAACAATCTTCAGAAAGCAAATGCTTATTTACATTGTTTTTCATTGTTTAAAGTAAACAACTTGCTTGAAGACTAATGTACCTCATATATTTACATCAAAAAAAAAAAAAATCCAACACACTTGACAGTTTTTGGCTGTGTAGTCTACAAGATAGCAGGTGGAGAGCTAAACAAAGAAGACAGAGCAGGTTTTTTGTTTTTTGGTTTTTTTTAGTTGTTGATACATCTTTTATTTATTTATATGTGGTTCTCAAATCGAACCCAGTGCCTCACGCATGCCAGGCAAGTGAGCTACCACTGAGCCAAAGCCCCAGCCCAGAGCAGGTATTTTTAAGCAACATCTCTTTCACATGATATCAACAAGGATACAGATGAATGTTTTTTGCTTTAGGAAGTCTTCTCATACACCTGTTACAAGACAACCAGTTAACACAAGTTTTTGGTGTCCCTTTTGAGATACTTTGATTG